TATTTACCAGGGTAAACCATAACAAGATGGTATCAACTCTCTATACGGCTTAGAGTTGTCGTAGCCATTTAGATTTAGTCCCTACTCTCACAAACTATCAGTAGTCTACTTAAGATAATGTGTATTACAATTGTCGGGAAAATATGAGATTTAGATAATTGGGGTTTTGAAAAGATGAATGCTTAGTTTAAAAGATAAGCAGAGTCAAGTCTGTTAAATGGGATTTTTCAAGTTATGCTCAAGAATTATCGAAACAATGGTTGGATAGATAAATATGATCAGTTCAAGTGTTAATGAGATTCACAGCATAGTATTCTAAGGTCGGACTTACCTTACGGAATTAAGTCATGACTGTCTTTTAAAATATGGAAGCACTAAGATGACAGTAGTTATAAAAGATTTCACATCAACCAGTAGGTGTTTCACAGCATCCTGACACTTGAGTTAGTGACTGAGTAGACCGAATTCATATTTCATGTGCAAAATTTCGGCAAAAAGGTGTTTTATAGTACGCTCATTTAAAAACCACCCACTTAGAATCAGTAGTTATAACATTCATAACCTTGGAATAGTACTATCGTAAACAGAATATTCCTCAAGGACAAAGGTAGTCTGATACTGTAAGTATTATTCTTAAGCTAGTTTTAGATTCCAAACCTTGATTATTTTGTGTACACATTTCATGTTTAAAAACCCGTTTAGTCCATAGAGTGCAACCTTTGTTTATGGGTTTAAAACTTCACAATTGAAGCTATTAATAAGGAAAACCACCACTCACGCTTTAAAACAAAATATTTATAGAGAGTGCTATTAATGGTGTGATCAATCCTTTTCGTGGTCTTCCAGAAAATACATGATAAAAATGCCAGGTCCTCTAGTCATTCCTATTATGTATGAAAAGTCTAATACTGAATGAAAACTTAAGACAGAATCAATGACACGCATCGTATAGAATAACACTCACCAGTGTTTGTTTTTGTTTATCAAAGTGAATATTACATGTGGAATCTCACTTACAATTAAGTTAGTGAATGAGTTTTATTGATTCATGTAGTTACATTAGGCATTTTATAATATCTGTAAGTCAGTCGGCAGTAAATACAGATTTTAATTAACTATCAGTACTAGTAAGGTTAATTCTTGTGGATCTTTTTCTTTGTAACTAGCAATCATAATACTACTTATTTATCAGCACAAAATTTGTAACCTATCTGTTTTTTGCAAACTTGAAACGTCATCCTGTTACTGACACTGCATCACTGTGTGTCGGCTTAGATAAACTTATTTGACATGAAATTACATTCTGCAACAATGTTGAAGTTCACCATTTACATTAATGATACTTGCAATATGTTTAAATACGAGCGAATGTGAACTTAAGGAAATGTATTGCTGTAATGGAGATTCTGTCGGAAGGTTTAATCCCTCTGGTTTAAGACTTATGTCCGGTACATATTTTCTAAGTGTACTTACCTCAAGAGCAGTATACTGATCGCTCACAAGTGGGATGCTTACTTGTATCAACTTTAAACTTGAATGCAGTGCTAAGTATACAGAGTTTTTTCTAATTGTTTCAGTTTGTTTGATAGATTCTAGCTAGTGGTAGAATCCAGGACAGTATGGCCACAGCAAATGATAGCTTTAATCCATTATGGAAAACAAAAAACAAAATTTTTTTTGATAAATACTTCGGTTTGTGGTAGAGACTGCTTATAGAAGTAGTGTTATAAAATAAATTAAAATATCTGGTATACTTTTTGGCATACCTCCAAGTCTGAGTCCAGTACGAGATTATATCCACATGTGTTAAGCAAACCCAAGTGATTTTGTACTCCTGATCAAGTGATGAGCCGTTTTCAGAGTACCCGTCTAAAGTAATATCAGTAGGATGAACTGTGTCTGGAACCAGCGTTTACTCAGTCAGTGGTGGACTTTTGCTTGAAATCAGTGCTTTCAAAGTGCCTACTTAACTATGTATACAAAAATTCAGGTCGTAGGCGTTTATCACCAGTACTATATTTCTTTGCAGCTCTAAAAATACTCCTTTCATACGTCTATCATTTCACTTGATAAGCTTTCAGTAGAAGGTATTTGCTTTCTCACTACAGTAAAATTAAGTTCATCACACACTCAGAGAATAAAAAAATAAAATGAAGGTAACACATAATGCATTTGCTTTAAATAATTGATCGGGATGTAGATGATCACATATTTCCCAAGAATTCTGGAAGTTGACCTACAGAATAATACAGACGCACACAGCGGCCTTGTAGTTCATCTTATTGAAACATGCGTTAAAATTAAATTGTTCTATTTTGTCTCAAATGCAGTAGCTGTACTTTCTTCGTACTCAATAGTCCTTCTGTTTACTATCTGACCTTTGTGAAACTGATTTAGTGGATTGACGAATTAATATTCCAATGGACAAAAATTCTGATCACAAGTTGATTACTATAGCTAATACTGATAATACTATATTTATCATGAATCTTTGATTGGACACTAGTAACTAGTGTGACGAGTGCCAACTAGCACGAAACCTAGGTCGAAGGTTTCCTGCCGATTGTCTCCAACCATATAATATTATCATGAATCTGTTGGAAAATGTAATCAAATGTGAAACCACCTACAACCTCTAATCTACTAGGGATTGGTTGAATCGTTTTCCTAGAATAAAACAAGGGTCAGATGTATGCTTATACTTAACTATGAACGGATCACCTCCAAATGTCCAGTGTTCAAATGAGCTCTATACTTTTAATCTACAAAGTATTATGAATTTATCTTGAAATTCTACCTACTTTTGTTTTGAAATATTTATCGTAATGTACTTTACTGTACGATCTGTCTTTTATTCTATCCTCTGATCTAAGGCATATGAACCTTATGTAATAAAAAGTAACACAAAGCAGATCAGAGTTTTATCTTAATCCTGATCGAATTTCACAGAAGGCGAATTTAAAACTTAGAAACGTGTCATTTATTGTGTGTGGTGCAAGTGTGAAACAAGGAGGTGTTTAGTCAATTCCATATATCTAAGAAATGTTTCTTTAAACCAGCTTTACACTCTTCTTTCTGTAATAACTGACGTGTCTAGATGAATAAAAGACAACAGTCACAACATCACGTAATAAAATAGAAATAAAATCTTCATTCTTCTTTGATTTTATTTGAAATTATTAATACATTTATTCATTTTCACCTGTGCATAATTAATACTGGCTGAAGGTGTGAATCGTGTGTTGCATATATTTAGACTGTTTAGCTGCCTAATCCTGATCACATGTGTCGCGTTTTGGCAAAATAATTTACCAATTTGAAAAAAAATGTTCCAAATATTTATTGAGTCACTATTTTCTTAATCACATTCTCAGGAGTTAGTTTGTATGGATTTAATTCGTTTTACGTTTGATGATAGATTGATGCTAATTAGAGCACCACTGGAAACGTAGGATTACTGAGAAGTCGTTTCGTCTTTGTTTTGGATTCGTCGACAGTACTCACCCACTAAGGTGATCAAACTTGAAATAAATGATATCCTCACAAGCAAATTCTCGAAGATCAATCGTATGCGCGCTAGTGACTGGCTACACCATGAAGTTGCCTGAAGTTCTAGTCAGAAGTCGTAATCTGTGGCGTCCATCGTGTCGCACGTGATGACAAATACTCATCATTGACATTAGCCAGAGGTCGCGCTAAAATTGTGGACTGGCAGAAGTTAGGATTTTTCGGCCACAGAGTTTGGTCCCAGTGACTGAATGGTCTACAAGTTTGCCTTGTAACCAGAAGGTCCCGGATTGGAACCGCAGTAGATGCATACTGATGATGAGTATCAAACTAAGGCGAGGGAGCTGTTCAGTACTCCCTGGTTTTCAGTGGTTCTCTAACTGATATCAATCCGTGATCAAAATTGTCATCAGGTTTTGTCATCTATAGTAAGCAGTAGACGTATATGATAAGAATGTTAAGCCTGTATCAACAAAAGGGTATATATCTAACAGTTGGTCATTTAGACCGGTTAGTAAGGCTCTATAAACACTGATCTTAAACATTTCTTGTCTTTTTACAGAATAATTTTGCATACTATCCACTTTGATTCTATTTTTTAAACTCCTAACTTAAAACATGTTACTCTTATTCTGAACTCCTACTCTTGTGAGAGTTATTCGTGTTTCAAGATTTTTACATTCTAAATAGCTATTTCTGAACTTTGTTCTTCACTTAATCTTTCGGATGGCGTATGGCGACTAATCAAAGTTCCACCACTTTCCAGTTTCCTTCCTAATATATAATTCAGTGTCATTTTGTAAATGATATTAATACCTTACCTATATTGACTTTCTCAATGACTTTAAAAATACTGTTTGCCTGGATAGCTGATTTATTTCTTCACTTTTTTCGTTGCACTGAGCTAACTTGTGAGAATTTCTGGCAGCTTATTCAATATTACTGATTATCATGTAGGGAACTGTAGGTTTATTAATATCTGCAAAATTAACATATTTGCCACCTTGAGCATTTGAACTATACTTTATAAGCATAAATTAATGATATAATAGAATACACTTTGGGTGCTTTGAAATGGGAGCTGCATAAGAGAAGAGATGAATAATTTGGTAATAGGTAACTAATATATTTTCACAGGGTCTAGTGAAGAAATAGTTCCATGTAATCTTCAGATAAAAGAGTTGTGGAGTAATTGATTGTAAGGACATATTACTGTAAATAGATTACGAAATCCCGACCCATTTTATACTTCTACGACTATCTTTAGCTGATTACAATCCAAACTAGTTGTAGTGTGGTGAGAGCAGGCTGCTAGCCGATTGGTTGGCACTAATCTACGTTAAGGTCTAGGTCACTAATATGGGCCGTGAACAAGGCTGAGTCAACAACCAATCACAGCGAAGTTAACGTGGCAAAATATGATTCGCAGATAGAGAACTCTGTTTGTCAAGGAATCCCGAAACAACCAATCAGAAGCCTGCGTTTGTCTACCTAAACAACCAATCAGATGATTGCGCTTGTCTATAATAATGTTGTCTGAAATATGTATAAATACGTGTTGATTTTCATAATAAAACGATCTGTTGCCTGGCCCTTGTCTTCTGTTGTTACATTTGGTGTCGCTGCCTACCGACAAATGGAAAGCCTATGCCCTGCTGTTTTCGATGGAGACATATGGATCTTCGGGCAGGACTTCAAGGCTTCTGCGCAGTTGAGTGGCGTTCAAGATCTGTCAGCGATGGAGCTGCTACTTGAGACGCTGCTGGGAGGTCGGGCGAAAGCAGCATATGAAGGTGTGGGCCGAAGTATGGACGAATGTTCGACAGGGTCAGGCAAACAGTTTCCAAAGTGGGAAGGACCATATATGGTCACTTCGAGATGGGGTTACGCAGACACAGTCGCAATGGCGAACAATGAGAGGCGCGTGAACGTCAGCGAGCTCCAGAAATGGATACAGCGAGACAAGCCAACGATGACGCCTGCACCAAGTAGATCAAGCCGACTTCAGTCGCACGTATTTGACGGGGGGACGAGTGTGGTGAGAGCAGGCTGCTAGCCGATTGGTTGGCACTAATCTACGTTAAGGTCTAGGTCACTAATATGGGCCGTGAACAAGGCTGAGTCAACAACCAATCACAGCGAAGTTAACGTGGCAAAATATGATTCGCAGATAGAGAACTCTGTTTGTCAAGGAATCCCGAAACAACCAATCAGAAGCCTGCGTTTGTCTACCTAAACAACCAATCAGATGATTGCGCTTGTCTATAATAATGTTGTCTGAAATATGTATAAATACGTGTTGATTTTCATAATAAAACGATCTGTTGCCTGGCCCTTGTCTTCTGTTGTTACAGTAGTACTACGTATAAGCAAATATTTACACATTTTCACCCAGTCCACAAAAAAGGACTCGTTTATACCCCTCCGACTACTACTGGTTCTTCATTCTGAGAAAAAACTGAAAAGAAAAAGAAGGACTTTACATTGCTTCACCAAGATATTGAGAAAGAACTAAGCCGGTCTACATCGATCCCCTGAGTTAGTCTAACTGTCACTTAATTCATCAGGAGGTTGATAAACAAAACCTTTAGTTGTCGAACAATAACCAAAACAGAGAACAAAGGGTTCCTTGAAAATTCTTTGGTATTTGATTGTAGGTGTTTCTTCACTAGGTACAGTAACATCTTCAGCACTAGACCTCATCCTTTATACTCACCGATAGATGTTTTCTATTATTTCATAAAATTCTTCAGATGTATTCCGCTCAATACTTCTATTTCAGTTAGAAATCTTTTAAATGCCATATTTCAAAGTTGCAAACCACTAAATAAAAGAGGAAAATGAAGTTACAAGGTTATAAAATTGATCAATAAATTTATGATATAGTAATTATTCTTTTAACAGAAACTTCATGAAAGTGAAGTAATAGGAAGAAACAGTCTAAATATATAATGCATGCAAAATCTATGATATAAGTAAAGCCTTAACCAGGCATAAGACCTCAATACACATAAATTTTATTACACTCCACCAATTCCCGTTTTAAACACAACATTACTAAATTACTTAATCAGAGTTATCGAAAGGGCTAATTAGTTAGAAAACTACTACCCTGACTAAAGAACATGCGTAGTATCCACTACAGTAAATAATATATGGTAGTTGTTACCACAGACAAAGAAGATTGAGTTTTGCATGGGTTTCAGGATATGTATGACTTCCAGTTTCATAGTAAAAGGGATTAGTTAATCACTGTATTTTACCTTTCAGTAAATTCTCCAGAGAAGTTTGATTCCTTTTACTTTGAAGTCAGCCAGTTTTCCAGAAGTCAGCCGTCTAAATAATTGGAAATAAGAGAAATAAAAGGCTGTTCATTATCACCACAGCTAGTGTTCCTTTTCCATCCACACAAACCATACTTTAATATAAGTAATCTATAATGAGTTAACAAAGGGAAGACTGATTTATCTTTTTTGTTTGAGGATGGGTATATATATATATATATATCCTTCTAAAAGTAAATGAAAGTGAAACAGATTTTATTTTCATTTCAACTCCTATATGGGCTTTAATTTGTCGTTTTATCATTAAATGAACCATCTTTTGTGAGTTTACAACCACCTGCATGTGGCAGTCTTCTTTCTTCTTCCGACACAACAAATAAAATTAGTAGTAAAATAACAGATCCGTGATACTAATTGAAAATAAGTCCATGTGTAGACACAAGACAAATAATGGACCTAAACAAATATTATTTAACCGCAAGTCACCTTGCCTTCAAATACTTTCATGTTTTATGTTGAAGGACACCATACCCGTTTAAGCAAGAAATAGATTGGGTCGCTTTTTATTTGTTTTATCTCCGACCTTTAAATGGAACAAAAGTAAACAGACTTTTCTTTGTAAAGTGGAAATAAGATGTCAATGGGAAACCAAACTTTATGTAATATGCTTGAAAACTCACCTTCCGTTAAAATCCGAGTAAGAGGTGAATCAACAAACGAATTAATTCGTACTTCTGTAATTTAGGAAAGTGATATTGAAAACCCTGCGGGGAAGACAATGCTGCGGCATTCATAAGCACCATTTGAAATGAACTTACTGTATAACCTGTAAAAAAAAATGTTTACGTCACATCATCGCCTCTTAGTCAAAATATCCTGCTCGTGCAAAACCTAGACAGGAAGTGCGGAGGCATAAATTCATTAAGTAACTGGTGTTAGTTTTACGGTTAACGAAATATTTCAGCGTCAGGTTCTTTTCAAACTACAGTAGGTTCCTAAGTAGGTAATATTAAACGCACGGTTCGTGAAATTTTTTCAGAACGTTCGAATATTCACAAAGCACGCATGTTTTTACTCAGGAAATTTATGGAATTTCGGAGATTATTGATATCAACAACTTAATCATTGATAAATATAAGTGAAACTTTTTTGTTTTTATCGGTCTTAAGGGGGCGGGGTATGTCATCTGCATCTGGCTCACACTAATGCAACACCTTCTAACTAAATTTATGTGAACATGCACTCGAATACTTCTAATATGTATTTGGCCCACTAAACGGAAACATCTAAATGAACTGGTACTAGGTTCGTGTGGAATTAACTGATTTTTAAGTATATTTTGTAGGGAAGAAATATTAACAAGAAAAATCACTACAAATGCAGGAGCATTAGATGGCTGCTTTTCTGTATAGTCAGAATCTCCAGAAGTTTCAGAGTACAGCATCTGAAGAGATCAGTGTGTCTTATAGATAGATGCCCTTCTCAACTGTTTTACTATATTTTTTAAAATTTTTGATTACAGCTTGACTCCACATCGTATTTTTAGTACAATTATGGAATTTTCAGCATGTGATATCGGTAGCCCAGATTTTGCAGGCCGACTATAGATATCAGGTGTGCGTCGGCAGGGGATCGAACCTCAAACCGTGTGCATGGTCGGCGAGAGTCCTAACCACTGTGCCACTGACGCACATAGTCAGATCAGACAAGTGAAACTAGTTGTTATGGTCACGTCACGTAGTAAAACTACTGTTTCATTACATATTACTGAGATTTTGAAATAATTCAGAAGTATGGCTCATGTCTTCACAAGACACCTGGTATAAAAACTGATATAATCAACTAAGAATTTCATTCCATTCCCCTTTCATTTCCTCATGAATATGTCAGCAATAATAGGTCCAAGATGACTAACAATGACCATTTAGCTGTTCTGTCGTAAAGTCCGTCTGAAACACAACTGGATATCCCAAGTGTACAGAAATAGGTGTTTCTTATCTTCTCTATGTAAGGGAAACAAAAGAGACCGTTTTAAAATAAATAAAAAGAGCTTATTAAATCCCACCATAATTTTGTCAAAAATGTTGCAGTATCTCATTTCTCAGCAAAATGAAAGTATCTTCAAATTTATTTACAGGTAGCATAACACAAAGAAGCCATTACTTCTGTGCTAACAAACGGGTTGGTTAGTGATACTTGGAATTCATCAATAACATTGTTGTTTGCAAGGAGATATTCATTTAATCATCATACAGTAGATCATTTCTGTAACTTAAACATGAACCTCTTAGTCTGAGATCATCAACTGATGATCTCATTTTTCAGGAGGTTAAGTGAATATGACTTATAAAAACATTTACAAAGAGCTTTGAATATCTGTACCTTGTAGTGATTGCATTATGGGTGAGTGAAAACATTAAAATTCACATATATCTTAGTGTAGTTCCGAAGCTTGTGTATTACATCCAAAACTTCAGGGTTTTTCTGTGAAATGTTGTCCTAAGTTTGGTTATAATGATAGAATTTTTTCATTTACTTTCTTCCTGTTGTCAAATTCTATAAAACTTTATACAGTAAAGTGGATCCGAATCTATTTACATTCGTCACCTAAGACTTTGTTTGAGGCACTTTTCTGAATTCAGTGGGATGGAGTTTTAACTTGCCGTTATTCCACAATTGAAGAGGTACTAGTAGTTGCACTTCTTTGTTGTGTTTACTTAGTCAACACATTTTTCATATTTAAATGCATAAGTTATTTTTTTCAGTAATGATGCCAGTGTACTAAATAGTGTATATTGAATAAACTTATGTAATGTAAATTCCTAGGTAGAAGAAATGACTCTTGTATGGAAACTGACATGTGAGTGGTTTGATAATTCGAGTATTTGTGGACCAGATAAACGTGGAAAAGTGTATTAGAGATCAGAAGAGCAAACAAACAATGGCAGGATTATTCTTACTATTCATGGCGTTACATTTTTTACAATGGTTATAATTCTATACAAGAGAATGCATTTCAGTATTCCTGATTTAACGATACGACAAATAAGAACAAAAATTATCACACAACCAGTCTGCTGTGTATTAGTATGACTCACTTCTGAGTAACACAGCAACAGTACTACTTCTAGCAACAGCAACATAATCAAAGCGTGTAACACTGTATCAATCCTCTCGAAACACCTAAGGTCAAATTCTTGACAAAAACAAAAGAGGAAACAAAGATAGAAGTGAATAACAAGTGTGAGTATCCTATTATATAAATATTAACTAAGAAATAAGGAAATAAAAATCAGCATATTCTCCACTATTCATTTTGTGCCAGTAGAAATGTAGTAGCAACATGTCCTTAAAGTAAGCCATCATTGTCGTTTTTATGACACGTGTTTTACGGTAAACTCCCACATCATTTGAGTAACACATTATTATGATTAGTTATTCTGTTCTGCCTCATTATTTTAAAAAACTATTAAATGTAATACATAAAAATGGCATTTTGATCCTGGATGATATTACTATTATGTACGACAAATTCTTGAGGAAGGTCAATGAGAAATTTCTTATCGAGTGTTTAATAACGTAGTGAATTCTTCTTGTTCCACCCAATTTTGGTCTATGTGGGTTGAGTTGGGAAATATACTACCCACATAAAAATGTATTCACATAATACCCAATTGATTTAGTCGTTAAAGGAAATGAATAAGCTTGAGGACAACTGAAAGGTCAGCTGATATATTAATCACGGAAGTATTGTTTTCCTGTAAGATTTCTTAACAAATTGAATAGCCAAATATATACTCAAGGCTTTTGGTTACAGCCTTGTATATTAAGCCGAGAAAAAAAAAACACCCAGTAACAGTTGTCTCTATGACTCCACTCTAGAAAGCATACAGTCATCCCTCTTTTAAATCCATAATCAGCCTTTAATATTGGCTTCAAATAAGGTAACTAAAGTTTTAGACGTTGTCAGATATCTTCCAGTCAGTCAGGCTCATTTCACAAACTATTGTCAGTATTGAGGTTTGCAAAAAGACACGACTTACTTACTGTTTGTGTCAAAATCTAAATC